GGAGTCTCCTGGGATTCCATCTCCGCTTGAACTGAGAGTCCTCATTAATCCTTTTCACTTCTTAGGATGCTCCCCAAATGGCCTGAGTTCTGGGGCCTTTTTTGCATCAGGTGAATTCAAAATCTAACCAATCAACACAGAATTTCACAATAAGTGTTGGCATGAATTCAAATCTGTCCATCCAAAATCAATTTTAAAAATTATTTATATATGTCTGAAATAATTCATATTTTCATTGGTATCATTCATATTTTTATAATATATGTTGGGAATTCTAAAAAGTTTATTTCATCAAAGTCTCATTAAATTTTAATATAACTTCAATTTACCAATGTTTCAGACATAAATCACTACTTAGTTTTACTAAAATAAAATATAAACTTTTAATTATACCTCAATTAAAAAAGCTTTTTGGATAATTTACTTTAAATAATCTTTGAGATTTCCCAGAAGACCACTAAAAATCACAATGATTTGTTCTTTCATCTTATAAAAAGAGAGGGACTGGAAATATTTAAATTTATTTGGTATGGTACCATTAATGAGTTTAACAGGAAGAATAGTCAAATGAAAAGAGATGCTCTACTCTCCTTAAGTTAAATTGGCATGATTGAATGTTGTTTATATAAAAATCTTACTAGTTGTATTCTTTTTATCTGGTAGCTCTCAGAGATTTGTTAAAGCTTTTGCTCTACTTACTATATTTCTGTTTGTCAGAGTCTGAAAGGTACTTTGCCTGGTAGAAGAAAACAACAGTATAGGGTTATCACTAACAAGTTCGGTTACTTAAAAACATTTTATTTGGTCATGACCTCATTTCTTTAATTTGAAAGTATATATTTTATATAAGTGGTTTTCAATTGGGAGTTTAATTAAAATACAGGTATTTATTAGCTATAAAGATGGACTGACTCTCTTAACTTGATAGTTGTCTTATGTTTTTGGTATATTCTTGCTATATGTTTGATAAATTCATTACATATATGTCTCAGAATTATATTGTTATATCTCAAGATTTCTTTCACTGTAACAATTGAATTCAGCCATTTTTTTTAAACCCTCTTTTTTATGGATTTTTTTTTTTAAGAGGGAGAGGAAGAGATAGAAACATTGACCAGAGAAAAATATCAACATTCACTGGCTGCCTCTTGCATGCCCCCAACTGGGGATCGAACCTGCAACCTGGTCATGTGCCTTGACTAGGAATCAAACTGGTGACCTCTTGGTGCATGGGTTAACACTCAACCTCTGAGCTACACCAGTGGGCTGAATTCACCCATTTTTATAAATTAGATATGATGTTCACTATCTTTGAAAATAGGCATAATCATTATGCTTATAGACTTTTTGTCTGAACATGTGTTTTTCTTTAAATTTTGCATTATTATATTTGTTTTCTGTGCCACAGAAACTGCCAAATGCCTTTATCAAATGTATAAACTCTCATCTAATCCTTTACTTTTGAAAATCATCAGTAATAAAATAACCATAACCATTTTAGGTATGTTGTCATTAGAAGTAGTTTTTGTTGTTATCTTACTCTGACACTTCCTGAGAGAGCTTACAATCAACTACAGGATAAAAGAAAAAAAAAGACTAATTATAAAAAAGACTACTCAGAACCCCCCATATATAAGAATTGTACCAGGTATGTACTATTAGGTACAGGATTATGATGGCATCACTTACCCAACTTTGAAATCATCCTAGTGGACTGAATAATGATTTCCAGAACTCCAGTAGAGCAGGTGGGACCATGAGATTCCAGGTCCAAGATCCAGCAGGACAATAATTAATTACATAGCATTGAATATACTGTTGAGGAATGATTTGTGTAGCTTTATCTTCCAGTAGTGTTGATGTCATATTAGTGCTCTGTATTCTGGATATGTAATGATTTTTTTTCCTCTCTCTTTAAGAGACTGTTTTTTCAAGGTAAAATAAAACATTTGTAAATGTATTTTATGCTCCAAGATGGATGCCTCCAAATTTTGGAAAATCTTAATAAGTATTCTTATTTTCATGGCAATAGAATTATTTGCAAAGGTTCAATAAGAGTCAATCTGGTCCTCTTTTTAACCATGATATAATTGGAAATACTGCTTATGGAACCAATCCCTTGCCTAAAATGTTGTATTTGAGATGATTCCCTTTTAATCAGAAATGAAGAGAAGCCTGGCTGATGTGGCTCAGTGTTTAAGCATTGACCTATGAACCAGGAGGTCACAGTTCAATTCCTAGTCAGGGCACATGCCCAGTGGGGGGCATGCTCTCTCTCTTTTTCTCTCTGAAATATATAAAAACATATCTAAAAAAATGAAGAGAAATTTTAAAGAACTAAGAATAATTTATGTATCCAATGTTTATAAAACTATTCTGGGAAGACTGTCACGGGTTTTTGCTTACCTGAGAGTTAAGGAAAGTCAGTGTCTTTCAAGGGGATTGCAAGAAAAAAAGGAATTTTCCATTTTATGTACTATCAGTGAAATCTGGTTACAAGCTCTTGACTTGGATTCTAGCATCAGTACAGCAAATAAAAAGAGGCTTTAAAAGTCCAACCTGAGATTATTTATGACAACTTCCAGCAAAGCAGATTAAAAAGATATATATGATAAATTGATACTCTTGCTACAACTGTGGAAATAAGCAGGCCCCTCCATAATGCAGCCAATTTTATTGCATAATAAAGAATAAACTTTGAGATAGATTATTTTTTATCAAAATGGGGGAGAATACAAAATTTGTTTTTCATTGGAAAATTGTGCATTCTTAATATCACACCCTCCCAGATGGTCACATCCAGCTTTGTTCATATCCTTGTTACTTTAGAACTCTTTGTAATTTGTGAGTAATTCAAAGAAATTCAAAATTTGTCTTGCCCTTCAGAGTTTCACATTGTTTTCTTTAAGTACAGTATATGAAATATAATCAATAATACTGTCATAACTATGTATGGTGTCAGTTGGGTACTGGAAATATCAGGGGGAACAATTTGTAAAATATATACTTATCTAACCAGTAGGCTGTACACCTGAAACTAATACAAAATAATATTGAATATAAACGGTAATGAATTACTTAATTAAATACAGAAAATTAAAAAAAAATAAAGAGCCTGTGGGGAAAAATATATTAGGTCTCTATTTCCAATTTCTTCCAACATTCCTTTATTCCATATAAAGGAGTGGTATTTTGACATTCCTTTGAAAGAGATTTCCTTTGAACAGATTATCTTTTAAACATCTAATTGTCTCCCATATGAATAAACTAAAAACACTTAACACATTGATTTTATATCTGCATGAGATCATGATTTTACCTTTTTCTAAAAATAATCTTTTAGTAATTATTTATTGTGGTTTTCCAAATATTCTGTTTGGCATTCAAGATAGAAAATAAACCATTCAGACAATGATGTTGTTGGGGATAAAGTAGGCCTTTGCAGAAGCAATATTGTTGGTGATGATAACATTGATAACTACATGGAAAAATGAGAACCTGATAAGATTTTCACCTGAAGTTGCCTTTTGTCTGTGACCTACAGTTTATTCCAATGAAAACCAGAAAGATTTCTTTATTAACATTTCAGCTACAGAGCTTTGACAATTTTCCTGAGGATTATAGAGTGGAAAGATAACACACTATGCCAATAAACAATTTGGAAAATGATTTTTTGAAAAAAATAAACAAACACAAAACAGTTTCTACTTTGCTTGAAAAGGGGATTGTTGGTATATAGGAAACAAATGGTTAAGGTAAGTATAAGTAAAAATAATAAAGATAATTGTTTGTTGATGGCATATAGGAAAATCAAAACATGAAAAGGTGCAGAGCATTTATATCCTATGAGGATATAGGCATGCGAGTTAAACAGAGACCACAGTTTGAATAATACAAACATTTTAAACACAGCAGCAGATGATTGCATTGAATATAGTCAGATACACTATCTCTAGTATAGAAAAGAATAATTTCTGCTTTGAAGTAAGCATAAGTTAGATGGGGCATAATCTTCATTTATTTTTATGGTTTGACTTCTTAGACAAATAATTTGTCACTATTACTTCCATCTATTGATAACAGAAGATGCAAACAGCAAAACAATTATTTGGCTTTATTAGCTCTTTAAAAATGGTTTTTCTTTTCTTTGAGTTCTTGTGTTATTATTATTATTTTTTGTTAATCCTCACCCGAAGATATTTTTTTCCATTGATTTTTAGAGAGAGAGTCGAAGGGAGGGGGGAGAGAGAAAGAGAGAGAGAGAGAGAAACAACAATGTGAGAGACACACATCAAAAGGTTGCCTTCAGAACCTGCCCTGTCCGGGTATCAAGCCTGCAATTGAGGTATGAGGTACATGCCTTTGACTGGAATCGAACCCATGACTCTTCAGTCTGTGGGTTGATGCTCTAACCACCGAGCCAAGATGGCCAGGACCTTCTGTTATTTTTAATATGTCCTTTTGTTAAGTTAATTGGCATTAACAGTTCCAACTTCATGTCACCCAATTGGACAACGAATGTCCTAAGCTCCTACTTACCTGATCTAATTAACAAATGTCACTTTTTAAGATGTCTCAAACTTATTTAGTATGCAGAATTGTGAAAATTCAGGAAAGAGGGAACTTTGCATATGTAGAAAATTTTGAGTAAAATACTGTTGTATTTAATGAAATTGTTAATAAATTATAGCAATGAAAAAATGAAACAAATAATGAAAAAGTATCTTTCAGAGAAGTGAAGAGTAACAGAAGAAACTATATACAGCTTCTAAAATGTGAGGTAAAAAGCCATTTCCAATCTGAAAACTAATTAGATGAAAGAAATCAGCAAAGTTTGTTGCTGGAACTGCGAATCATGGCCAGTACAAGGTGAGAAAATAAAATATATTAGGGTATTTTACTTCTTTGTTTCTTTGTGTACATAAATAAATAAAAGTCATTTCAGTCAAAAGAATTGGAATAATGACCATCTATTGTTACATCTATTTCCCAAAAGTTAATTAATGCTGTTCAGGATTTTTGGTTCCTTTTTTTTTGTTGAAGAGTTTTAGGATTTTGTCTCGTATTTGCTTGGTTTTCACTACATACACAATGGGGTTCATCACAGGAGGAATAAGAAAGTGCATGTTGGCCATGAGTACGTAGATGGCTTTGGGAAGCCTTGGAGCAGCTCGGTAAAGTATCGACAGGCAGATCATGGGTGTGAAGAAGAGGATCACAGCACAGAGGTGGGAAATACAGGTGTTGAGAGCCTTGAGGCGGCCACCATGAGATGCAATGCTTAGTACAGTTTTCAGAATCAACATGTAAGAAAGAAGGATAAGGAGAAAATCAAGTCCCATGTTGGAAAGAGCCATCAAGAGTCCAAAGATGCTATTTATCCTTGTGTTGGAGCAGGAGAGCTTTAGGATGTCAGGATGCAGACAGTAGGATTGAGAAAGTACATTGGAGCGACAGAAACACAACCTCCTCAAGAGGATAGGAAGGGGCACTTGTGCAATCATGGCTCGCCCTACAATGGCCAGACCTATCTTGGCAATTACACTATGGGTAAGGATGGAAGAATAGTGCAGTGGACGAGATATAGCCACAAAACGATCAAAGGCCATTGCCAGTATGATAGCAGACTCAAAATCTTGGAAGGTATGAATAAAAAACATTTGGGTGAAACAAGCAGAGAAGGTGAGCTCACGAGCATCCAGCCAGAAGATCCTCAGCATTGTGGGGAAGGTGAAGAGGGACAGACCCAGATCAGAGGCAGCTAGCATGGCCAAGAAGAGGTACATAGGCACGTGGAGGGTCTGTTCTCGCCAGATAATTGCAATGATGGTCATGTTGCCCACCAAGGTAATGAAGAACATGGCACAGATGGGAATGGAGATCCAGATGTGCACAGCTTCCAGCCCAGGTATGCCTGCCACCAGGAACGTGGAGAATATCAAGTTGGAACTCTTGATAGAAGTCAAGACAGAGCTGCATGCTTTCCCTAGAATAAAATGCTTTGTCTCAGACACATGTTAAAATTTGACTTGGGAACTTAACTGACTATTTATGATTTCTCATTTTAAACAGACTCTAATATGAGATTACATGCTAGATTACATGCTGTTTACGAACATATAACATCTGAGCCTCTGAGACTAGAAAATAAGATCTTTATCAAATTCCCACTTATTATAAGTAAATTAAGGAAAATTAATAAAGAAGTAACCTCGTATTTAATTTACATCATTTAATTGATGATATTTTAAAATTAAAAATCCAAAAAAATTTGCTATAAATAAATTCCTTTCAAAAATTCATGCAAATTTATCATTGTTATTGTAATTATAGTAATATAGCATATCAGAGTATTTCTTACTGTTCTGTCACCCTTGATACATATTATACAGTGCTACTGAACATGAGCATATTTTAATATTCTGATATTTCTTTAATGATATGAGTGCAGAAATTGGAAATAAACATTTAGAAACTGTTGCATTAATGTGACATGCTACATCAGTGTTTCTGCAATTTAATAATAATGGTTATTAGTGTACAATGATGACATTATTATTACATTATAAATGTATATTTTATTTCTTTATTAAACATAATTTTAGTTATATTTTACAAACAATTATTTTGTGATTGAAAAAAATTAAATGTACCTTTACTGCATAGTTTATAAAATGCTGTGATAGGATAATTCATTTTTGAACATAAGCTTATTACTTTTATTCAATTGAACATAAAAAATTAAACAGATTGTTTAATATTTTAATTCATGTTTTTAGGGTTCTTTTTTATTATAGGGCTAATATTTTATTTTATTTTATTTTTTAAAGTATTCTTTTTAAAAAAATATAGTTTATTGATTTTTTACAGAGAGGAAGGGAGAGGGATAGAGAGTCAGAAACATCAATGAGAGAGAAACATTGATCAGCTGCCTCCTGCACACCCACTACTAGGAATGCGCCCTCAACAAGGTACATGCCCTTGACTGGTCTCGAACCCGGGACCCTTCAGTCCGCAGGCCGACACTCTGTCCACTGAGCCACACCAGTCTGGGCAGAGCTAATATTTTAAATTTTCATTAATAAGATGTAAGCATATTTTATATGGTTACTGTATATTTGTGTAGCAAATCGTTCATTTTTAATAACAATGAAACATCAAACAATGCCTATTTTATTGATTTACTTTAATATGGATGTAATTATTTATTTATCCAAATATTCAATAAGTATTAATTATTTTTCTTTATATGCTTAGCTATAAGCTTTAAGATTTTCACAAAGAGCTAAGAAAGCACAATTAGCAAGTTATATTGAAGAAGTGAGAAGTCTGTTTACCGTAAACTATGATGTACAATGTCAGAGATAAGATTATTTTTATGGTCTATGTTACCAGAACATAGAAAATTAGTTGTGGATACACTGAGTCTCCTTCTCTCACACAGCAAAGTACACAGTTTTTCTAAGTCCACCTCTCACTACATTCTGTATTTATGAAACTAACTAGATGTTTCATGTATACTCTTCATATCATTTGTAGTCATCCCCACAATTAGCCTTACAAATATATGCATATAGTAAGAGTCTCAATCCCTTCCTCACCTATTCTCATTCACTAATACTATTCTTGATATTGTTTGTGGGCCTTTTAGAGATGTTCATTTCCAAAACTTCATTCCTTGCATGGAACCAGGCTATGGTGACCTGAGTATTTGGCCAGCTGCTTCTATTTAAATTCACCTTAAGTCTAATATTTGGTCAGAGTACGATTCTTATAAGTGAAGGCCTGGGTCAGGGAGTAAGAGAAGGCTAGAAGGGATCATTGGGGAGAAAAGGGGGCATATGTAATACTTGAAACAATAAAGATTTTTTAAAAAGAAAATAATAACAGTAACTTAAAAAGCTCTTCTCTATAAAGTCTCATTGCCTAGCCCTGGACAAGTCTAGTCCATTTTTCACAATCTCAATGTGTGTCAATTCGAGGACTCAAGCATAAGGATAAGAATAAAACGTAAGTACTGAGAGTAAGAAGCATAAGGATCCTGTTCACTTTCCCTGTATTCATTTGGCAGGCTAGTCATTTTTTCCTCCCCAATCTCAATCTAAATTAATTCAGAAGAGACTTTTAGAAACAGTAGAAGGGATTAACAAAAATTCTATGCATTACCTTACAATTAAGAAAATTGGAATTAACTTCAGAAGTGTCATTACCTTTTTTTTAATCTTGAATTTTGTTGTGAGGGATAGAGATGGTGGGAAGTGGTCTAGGAAACTCACTCTTTGTTGTATAAGAGCACATTTTGCTAACTCTAACTATTATGCATTTCAATGTTGAGCATCTGGTGCTAGGTTTCTTCTCAATGCCTTTTCTTTCCCCTGGGTTTTAAAGCATTTTCTGAATCTATACTCTTCAGTCTCACCAAGGGTGTTCATGTTCAGAGATGAGGCTGGCATTGGGTCAGTGTTAACATAGCACGAATAGTTCTCTACTTTTCAAGAATACAATAAACCTACTGTCTTTTATTTAGTTCAATACCATTGTCCAAATATATAAAGTTTTTGAGAGAAACAAATTAGGGATATTTTCACAGAGAGAAACATCTCTAGACCCCTGTGATTCCTTCTATTATAGGATAGAGGTTTTCTACTCACTAATGTAGTCAAAGCTTCTTCAATCTTAATTCTTTTCCGAATCCAGGTAAACAATATATTCTCTCTTACCTGCCATCTTAAGGCAAAGTGTTTGCTAATGTCTTGCAGTTTCAGCTTTTCCTTCTGTCCCAAATCAAGAATCATTATGAACTGGTTTGAGCTTCCACATTATTCATGCAGCTGTCTACTGAGAATAGTAATCTCCTGGGGATTCTTCTCTTCTTGATTTAAAGTCTACCTTTCATTGCTTCCTAAGAGTGCTCCACATATGACCCAAGTACTGGCTACTGTTTTGCATCAGGTGAATTGAAAATCACTCATTATGTCTTGGTGCCATCTCAATTCATTTTTAAGTTAAATTTTAAAAATACAATATGCACAGTTTGGGGTTATTTGTATCTTTTAGAAGATATTTTGGAATTTTCAAAGTTAATTTTATCACAGGCATCTCTTTGAACTCTATTGTTGTGGTGGTAGAAATTATTTATTTATCCAAATATTCAATAAGTATTAATTATTTTTCTTTATATATGCCTAATTATAAGCTTTAAGATTTTCACAAAGATCTAAGAAAGCACAACTAGGAAGTTATATTGAAGAAGTGAGAAGTCTGTCTAATGTTCTATCAAAAATATAGAAATGTTTGAGAAAAAGAAAATGCATAATGGAGATTGAGATGAAGATGTTAAATAAAGGAACAGGAAGTATATCAACTTTAGTTGGTGGATATGGGAAGAAATGAAAAGTAAAGGCTAAAATCAATAAACAAAAGGGAGAGAATAAGCAATCTTTTTATTATTATTGATATTAGAGGGGAAGGGATAGGGAGAGATAGATAGAAACAACAATGATGAGAGAGAATCATTGATAGGCTGCCTCCTGCACATGGAGCCCACAACCCAGCATGTACCCTTGACTGGAATTGAACCCGGAACTGTTCAGTCCATAGGCCAACACTCTATCCACTGAGCCAAACCAGGTGAGAATAAGCAATCTTAACCCAGCCATCAGAAGAGTGTTTTTATTCCCAGTTTTAAACAACATATACCCATCTTCCATGAATTTCCCTTGAGTTGTAATAACTTAACCTTCAGGTCCTCATTTGTAAAGTCTAGTCAGAAAAGTCCTTGGTCACATTTGGCACTGAGGTACCAAGGAAAGACAGCAGCATCTGTGGGAACTATGTATCAAATTGGAAGAATCTATTCCTCCTCTAGGTGAGAAAGCTAAAAGTCTGTTGGACAGTTCTACCTCCCTTGAAAATTGGCCAGGCCTCATGATGTTTTAGGAAATCACAGAATTCCTCAGAGATTAAGGTCAAGAAGCTAGGAAAAAAAAATCAAAAACAAAAAATACCCTTTTAATGTCCCTTCATTCTCATTGCATAGAGTCATGTTTAGGAAAAACACTCCTGGGACTAGTAGACAATGGAAATAGCTAGATCTAGATCCATAGTAAGATTTATTGTTGTGTGTGTGTGTGTCTGTGTGTGTGTGTGTGTGTGTGTGTGAGAGAGAGAGAGAGAGAGAGAGAGAGAGAGAGAATAGTTGGAAGAGTAAGAACAAGGTATTAGAATTTATTATTTTTAGTTAAGATTTTGTTTTTCAAGCACCTTCTTTTAAAATGTGAATCACAGTCACACTCAATGTGAAAAACACGGTCACACATGTGAGACAACACAAATATATAGGATTTAGCTTAGCCAGAAATATTTTGATAGTAAATTTAAAGCATGCTAGTTTTATTTTGGGTAAACTAAATAACTGCAAGATTTTTGAGAGATGACCCCCAAAACAAAAAAGTAAACAAAAATATCTAACTGTTATTAACAAATCTTTCTATGGAGCCATTCACTCATAGAATGTTAAAACAAAAAAGGGTTATAGAGGTCATCTTTGTAGATTTCTTATTATGTGAGATACTGAGCAGGGACATAAATTGTTTAGGTTCATATAACATGTTTCTGATGAAATTTAAAACATAAGTCCATGTTTTTTGATTGTGTGTAGGTAGTTTTGAGAGTAACTGAGGGCAATAATTAAAAACATAGATTCTGCAGCCAGACTGCCTGGAGAATAAAACCCCACTGGACTTGGCCACTTACATTGTCATCATTTTGCTTTTGTTTGCTTATCTATAAAATGGGTGTGTGTGTGAGCAATAATTTGTTGCTACATGGAAAGAATATAGTATAGTTAACAATGTTGAGCTTTACCTGACCACTATAATTCTGGAAAGCAACAAAGGTAAAGAAAATCATGATCTTATTTATTCCAGGACACTGCTTACTGCAAATGACCCTTCTCCATATTCAAAAGAAAATAACGTAGGCTCAAAATGGGGTCAGTCACTTGTGTTAAAGCCCATTACAAGTGTACAATTTATTGGCATATAATCAATTCACACTGTTGTGCAACCATTACTTCTTTCTAATTCAAAGATATATTTGTCACTGCAAAATAAAAATAAAAATTATAGTCATTAAGGAGTTACTCAATATTCCCATTTCCAGCTGCTGGCAACTAGCAATCAACTTTATATTTCTACTAGAGACTCGGTGCACAAGTAGGGTCCCTAGGCCTGCTTGGGGATCAGGGCCGATAATGACCTTCTGGCTGCCGGCCGGGGCCTTCCTTCGTTCCACGTCGCAGCCTAGTGGTCAGCGCACATCACAGCGAGTGGTCAAACTCTGGGTGGATCGAACTCCAGAGGGATCAATTTGCATATTAGCCTTTTATTATATTGGATAATGTTCCATTGTGTGTATATACCACAATTCCATTGAATCATAACTTGACTTTCAGATGTATGATGAACTTTCATAGAATGAACAACTTACAATTTCTAATATCTAATGGATACTGAAAGAAACCTATAAGCCCTCCTTAATTATCAGATACTTCAGTTATGTTAGTGAGTGATTCTTGCATAGAATAAGTAGAAATGTATAACAACAAGATAACTTTTCCTTGTGTTGGCTAATTCTAGTTCCATTCTTGTTTTCCAGAATATGATTGTTAACAGCCTTGTCTCTACAGACTTCCAATTTGAATATCACAAATGGTTCCTTAAGAAAGAATACAAAAGAAAAATATATATACTCCATAATGACTTCCATATATGCAGTTGAGCCTTGAACCACCTGGGTCTGCACTGTGTGGGTCTGATTATATGCAAAATTTTTGCAGTAAGTATGTACAATATTGTAAGTGTATTTTCTCTTACTGATGATTTTATCATATTTTCTTTTCTCTAGCTTACTTTATTGTAAGAATATCTACACTAATAAAAGAGAAACATGGTAATTAGCGTATGACCGCTACCCTTCCCATTGGCTAATCAGGGAGATATGCAAATTAACTGTCAGCCAAGATGGCGGCCGGCAGCCAGGCAGCTGATGCGAACAGGGAGGCTTGCTTCCTTCAGTGACAGAGGACTCCAACGTTCCCC